GGCGTAGTGCCTAAGGCATCTGACTTCTAACCAGAAGGCTGGTGGTTCAAACCCACCAGCCACTCCTCGGAAGGAAGGTTGGGCAATCTACTATTTCAACTCCATATTAAGTATAATTAAAATTGTAGAAAGATAGGAGAAAAAAAAAAGAAAAACAGTAAGTTATCATTTTATGTCACTGTTTGAAATTCTTTTCATAGAGAGGATGACCATAAATTAAAGTTTTAAAACTCTGCCTGAAAACAAAACAAAAACTTCTGTCTGTATTATTCTTGGCCATGCTGTATTTTAAATATGTTATCTCATTTGATGGCCTAACCCTGTGAAAGGGGGCCTTTTCTTCCCAATTGGAAGGTTATTAAACTAAGATTTAGAGAAGATTAATGGTTTGCCTGATATTACACAAGTATTAAATAGAAAAGCTGAAATTAAAGACTCTTGGTTTTCACTGTATTCCACATCTCTTCCTTTAAAAAACCTACATGAGGCTACCACTCCTATTTGGTAGTGGCCATATTTCTTCACCTACCTCCAAAGAAAGTCTCATTGATTTAACAAATATAGTCGATACATAAAATACTATATTGGAGGATTAGCAAAAAATATGGAAATAGCTCAGGCTATTCCTCATAGGCTGCATTATGTTGATCTAGTAATTACAGACATCATTCTTCTTCCTTGGGAAACCATTACACTTATTGCATACAAATGGTTTTGTAATGGAGGTTTGAACAATCTCATCCAAGAGACAAACATCCAGCATATTGCTCACCTCTTCCTTGGAGGTTGTTACAGAGACCAAGGCTTTCTACTTTGAGTTCACAATCACACAGCATCATATAACATGAAATGGGGAGTAATCAAATGGCTGGTTGTTTAATCAGTTTTTCTTTTTAATACTCATAAGGCACTGCCTTGCCTTCAGAGTCAGTTACAGTCATCATCTGTCATGGTACCACGAATGAGCAGAAACACTGCTTAACCACATATCCCAGCTGATGTGGTGTTAAGAAAATGGTTCTCTTCCATCCTTGTCCTATTGAGGGACCTTAAGCTATATGATTTTTCAATTTACTAAGCTACAGTGTTAGTTTTAAAGTTAATGTTTCTTTCTTGCTTAATAGTTTTCACAGTGTACAGACAGAATAAAAGACTTGGAGAAACAGTTTGCAGATCCCGAGGGTGAGAACAGAACCCGCTTCCTTCCAGGGAAAGATCTAACTGAAGAACAAATGATCAAAAAATTAGATGAGGTAATTGTTCTTTCTTAAAATCAAATATATTAGCCCCTTCTCGATAGTTTCCCAGATACCTGTATCTCTGTCTTATGTTATTCAGATAGATCTGTCCTTCATTTTTCTAGACACTAATATATTCTTTTCTTTGATTTAGTAACAAAATCTAAATTTGATTTAGACTCTTGCCAAAAGAAGTAAAACTCCAATCGTTTCAAGATACCAATGATACCATTCAGTGCCCAAAGGAGCAATTTTGGCATTTTGAATGGGTGAATTTGTCTTCCCGAGAGGAATGTATGAGAGGAATGGCAATGTATCCTAGATGGAGCTGAGAGGCTCATACTCTGCCATGGGAAAAACACCTCCCAGAGCTCTCTGGAGGGCGATCAGGGCAGGGGAAGTCTTGACTAAGCCCAACTCTAAAGACCTTCCAGATGTATTTTGGCAACTGAAAAAGCAATGTATCTCTGTGAAGTGGTAGTTGGGGAGGGCAGTGCTCTAGTAAGGAAAGAAGATTTTGTATTGCATGACTTTATTTTCTTCCTATTAAAATTGTTTTTTCAACCATAGCTGGAACTACAGCTGGCCCAGAAGGAGGAGAAGTTACTGGAGAAGGACTTCATCTATGAACATGTGTCCCGGCTTACAGAAAGGCTTTCCACCAAAACTCAGGCCTGCAAGCAGGACACACTACTCTTGGCCAAGAAGGTGTGCCCAAGACCTTGTCTTGTCTCTTCCACCTTCTTCTTTTATTACCTTTTGTTTTCCCTTTCACTGCTTTATTTATTTAGAGAGAAGCACTGCATTGATTAGGCCTATGACTACGGAAACACAAAAATGAAAAGGTGGACTCTTAGAGAATTGTCTAAAATAAGTTTTAATATTGTTACCTAAATTAATTCACTCTGTAGAAGGGAACTCTGGTGGCGTAGTGCCTAAGGCATTTGACTGCTAACCAGAAGGCTGGTGGTTCAAACCCACCAGCCACTCCTTGGAAAGAAGATGGGGCAATCTACTTCCCTAAAGATACCGCCTCGGAAACACAAGGAATTGTTGCTATGAGTTGGGATCCACTCGGTGGCAGTGAGGTTTTTTTTTTTTTGGTAGAAGGAAAACCCAAGCTTTTCGATGACAGTATTCCAGGTTCACTTCACAAGGTACCTACTCAAACATAACATTTGTTACCTTCATATTTCATGCACAAAGTTAAATCTTTTCTAATCCCTTGGGAATGGGATTTTTGTAGAATGGGAAGCATGATACTGCCTGCCTTACACAGCAGTCTGCATGGGAATGACCCCAATCCAGAACTCTCCCTGAACCAGATGCAGAAAGAGAAAACCAAACTTGAGTTGGTTCCGACTCATAGCAATGCCTCCTTGGGTTTCCAAGGTGGTATCTCTAGGGAAGTAGATTGCCCAGTCTTCTTTCCAAGGAGTGGCTGATGGGTTTTAACTGCCAGACTTCTGGTTAGCAGTCAAATGCCTTAGGCACTCCACCACCAGAGCTCCTAGAAGAAGTGGAAGAGTACCATTAAAGAGAACAGCAGTCACACTACACAGGTCTGCTGCGCCATGAATTGGAGCTGCCTTTAGGCTTTACTAGTGAGAAAAATCCATGAGCTTCATAGTGTTGAGCTTAATATACCGAGACTACAGATCCAACGCGGCAGATTTGTGGGTGGCAGGGCTACTAGAAGCTACACTGAAAGGAGCAGCTGGCAGGTTCGTGATTCAGAGGCAACAGGACCATGCACCTGAGCTGTTAGAGCAAGGGGTTAGGGTGCTTACCTGGCCTCCATAGCCCTGTGGAGCATCACATTGTAATGGCACAGGTGTTTTATTCAGTCATTTATCAAGTAGTTACTGGCACACCTGCTAGGCAAGAGAGTAGAAACAAAGAGGAAGAGGCCCATTGTGTGTGTTCAATGCTGTATGAAACTTACACAGTCCCACACCCTAGGCTGTGGGCACCTGAGAGCAGTGAGTGTTCCTTTTCCTTGTTTTGCTTAGTTTCCCCAGTGTCTAGATTCTAGAGAAAAATGCTAAATAAATAAATGAATAGTCAATCCTGTTGCAGAAACAGCTCTGACACACTAAATTAGTGGGGAATTGTGAATAGGAGGTTTTCCTCACCATTTTTTCTGTCTTTTACACTTCCCCTCGGACTACTTCCACTAATACACACTGACCGGTCCAGGGCCAGTTGTGCAGTTCACAGTGTTGCCTCATAAAATAAAGGCTAAGATTGAGGCTCATGAACTTTGCCTGAATTAGCATGTCCAATGTTTCTTCAAATGTTGTCCTCCTTCCTTTTGCAAAATGAATTTCCCTTTCTTTGGGGAAGTCATTTTTCACTGAGGGCTTGCATGTCAAAAGTGGATGGCAGAGTCTCTTCAGAAGTTAACCATAATGTTAAAGAAA